TCAGCCATAAAAAAGAATGAAATTCTGCCATTTACAGCAACATGGATGAACTTAGAGAAAAATATATTAAGTGAAATAAGCCAGGCACAGAAAGAGAAATACCTCATGTCCTCGCTCATAAGGTGGGAGCTTAAAAAAAAAGAGAGAGAGCGAAAGAAAGAAAGAATCACAGTAATACATTGGACTTTCAAAAGGAGAAAACATAACTGAGGTTACCAGAGGTGGAAAAAGGGGATGGGGGGATTAGTGAGAAATTAGTAAAGCACCACAAAAAATGATTACATTGTGTAATGTTGAATAAGCTAATTATCCTGATTTGAACATCACATATGGCACACAGGTATTTATATTCAGTACAGTACCCCACAGATACATACGATCAATTATGTTTCAAAAAAATATTTTTTAGAAAAAGAAAAATTTATCAATTATCTCCCAGAAACATAGCTACATTACATGCTTCAAAGTATAGTTTTTTAAAAGCAATCTTCTTGCGTGAGAGAAGTATGATTTTTTATTAGACATTTATGAGTAGTTTTACTGTCCAATGTCCTTATATTGTGAACACCAAATTTCCTCAATGACTTCTTCAATAGAATGAATGAACATCTAGAATCCAAGAAACCCAGTCTGATTACCAAACATACCTTTGCAACATTGATAAACTTTGTGATGACTTCTGCCCTTTGCTGGGGGGTTGGTTTGCTAAGAACCATCAACTGGACCCACTTAGAGATTCCATTAAATAAAGCAATAGATCTCTCCAAGGTTGGGTTATTCTCCAGGCAACCGTGGATGACATAGCTTTGGTAATCAGTGAACTAGCAAAGTAAGATTCAGAGATTAGAATTATAACGAAGCCTTCGCAAAACTGGAAATTAGAATGTTGCATAGAAGAGGTGACATAAACAATTTCTTTCATTGCACATTCATAATGGCATCCTACAAGTGTGAATACACATGTACCTTTAACATGTTATTTTGCTGTATTTCAAACCCCACTCCTCCCGACACACAGACACACACTATTATGCGTGGCAGTGTTGGTGGGGGGAAGAAGAGACAAGATCAATGTCATGTTCTAGTGAGTCCCAAACTTGCAGGATCATAAGATCTACCTGGGGAATTTGCTAAAATGTTGGTTCCTGGGAACACCCAAGACCTATCTCCAGAGGAAGAACCTAAGAATCTCCATTTTTAACATCCTGCCAGGTGATTCCAATGATCAGGCAGGTTTAAGATACAACAGCATACATTGAAAAAGAGGAAATAAACATAAATATAATTTCCCATCAGAATCATCTTGTAAATTCGTTTCAAGAAAAAAAAGAGATAAGAAAAAATATCAATTGAAGTAAGGCAGCTCTTTAGCAAAACATACATTTTCAGAAAGTTAGCATGAATATCCCCAAATACATATATGCTTCCTATCATATAAATAGTCCAGGGGATTCCTTCACAGGCCTGCCTGTGGGAAATCATTAGTGTCTTCTCCAAGTAAGATTATTTACTGAAAGAATCAGCCTTTCAGAAATTCATGCTTCTTAACAAGATGGCTTCTTCGCAAGCAATAATGAAATTCATTCCCTGGCATCTTAGAAAAGGAGGAGGAGTGATTTCTTCAAAGCAAGCTTTGAAGTGAGACAAAGGAAAGTAGCTGGCCGATGGTGAACCAATGTGGGAATATTATCTTAACAAGTGGATAGCCAGTAGGCAGCTAAGAAGAGACCACAGCCCAGAGCAAGAAAAAGGAAGCAGAGAAGGAATGAAGCCCTATCAAGATGAGTAGAAAAGAAAAGTTTAATTCAGGATCTGTCTCCCTGGGGAAAAAACAACATGATGTGCAGATTCTCCTAAAAGCCTATATACAATTCCTATTTTCAACCTACACCCATAATTAAGCATTTATACAAATTCCAACCTAAATAACTATTTTTTCCCCAAAATGAAGGGCTTAGCAAAACATATTCACTTTGGGAGAAGTCAATGGAACTAAATAAACCTTGAATGGTTAAATCTCCACTGAGTATTTAGAAAACTCACGCTTTAATCCTATGAAAGGACACATTGAAAATAGCGACAGAAATATAGCTCCTGAGCCGTAAAATAAAGACAGGATAATATTTATCTTTGGTTAAAAGGGATTGTTCCTGTGAATTAAGGGCACTTTTCCAGCGGAGCACAGTGACAGAGGCTGCCAACACTTCAGAGTATGAAAATTTGCCTCTTGGAAAGGTTGGCATGGTGGCTGTTATCCTTGGAAGAATAAATGTCAAGTTTCTTACTGAGATCCTTCTGAAAGATTTATGCTCCAGAAAAGTAAGGTGCTCAGCCAATTCAATGGGCTCCAGATGGTCAAACAGCAGACAAGCTTTTCCCTTCTTGGATACTTTTTTCCTCTGTGTGACTCTTCTCATCCAGTCGTAGGAAGGACTACAAAAGAAGAGTGAGTCTGGTCCATGTGCCGAAAACCCATTTCACCCAATGGAAGTTATTAACCTACTGACTTTGCAACTCTTGGCCTGCATACAGGGGCCTATGCAAAATACATGCCCTGTCCTTCATATGTGAAAAGAAAACCACTGACCAATTGCCGACAGAACACAAACTTTGAGTTGTTTCAAGACAGAGTTGGTTTTGCCCTGATCCATCCATCCAGAATCTCTGACTTAGTCTCCTTGTGACTAGCAAAATCTGGATCATAAAGGAGAGGTCAGGGCTAAATTTTATAAATTAAATTTATATAACTTGGGAGTTTATCAGCATATAGATGGTGATTTAAGGCACATGGAAACTCCCAAAAGCTGTGGGCTTCATAGTTCAACATAACATGAATGATCTAAAATCTTATTTTAAAAACAGGCCAGAACTTCACTGCCAGAGATTCTGAGTTACTAGGAATGAAACTGAATAATATGTATTTTTAATAAACATCCCTGATAATTCCTTGATCATTCACCATTTATCACTCTTAAAGAAGTATTCTAGAAAAATAGAATTGAGTATGAAGGCCTAACACACAACAGCATACATTTGCAAGATGGATAACCATACTCAAGATCATCAAATACTTTCTCTATGCAAAGTTAGCTAATTGAAACTAGCCTAATTGCACCAAGCTCCTAATAACTGGGCTAATTAGTTCATGGCATAACTATGGTCAAAATTTGTACAACCTCAGGCCAACTTTAGAAGCGCCATGGTACAGGGCTTCTGAAACTCAAATGAGCATGTGAATTACCTGGAAATCTTATGAAAGTGCAGATTTCAACTCAGTTGGTTGAGAGTCTGCATTTCTAATAGGTTCCTGGGTGATGCCAGCATTGCTAAGCCACAGACCACACTTTGAGTAATGAAAGCATAGGAGACGTTAACCAGATTCAATAACTAAGTATTGAGCACTTATTATGTACCAAATGCTTTCATAGGCTATCTTATGTACTTACTGGATGCTCGTCATAATCCCACAGGAAAGGTACTATCCCCATTTACACATAAGAAACTGCAGCTTGAAGAGAAGAGTTATGTTCAGTATGGCTGTGCTCACTGCAGCAAGGTTTTGCTCAAAGAAGCAAACCTTAATTCTGGAATGGTATGGATTCAGGTCAAGTGGGGTCATCACTATTCCCTCCCCAAAGCAGTGGACTCGTCAAGTTTGAAAGAGGCTTGTACCACTCTTACATGCTGGATATGTCAATGAGGCTGATGTGTTTTTCATATCCTAGTTGACTAGCTACTTCCCGGAATTCCTCAGTCATACGAATCAAGCCAAGATCCAGATTAAACTCTGCAGGAAACTTCAGAATCCAGTACCTGAAAGGTAGCAAATATTGTTGACAGCTAAACGATTTCAAGTTGGACCTCTAAGGAAACTACGGTACCATATTACAACTACATTTAACACTGAATCCAGGACCACACTTCAATTTAGCCAGCTCCTACCTGCTCTCCATCACATTGAGTCTCTGCACTCCTTCAGTCAAGAACCAATGTCCACCATTCCCACCCTGAGCCTCTCTTTTTGACTCTCTCTAGAACCACAGCTGGAAGGAAAATTTTCCCCTAATTCATGGCAATAGGTGGGGACGCATGTGGTGAGGGAGTAGAAGAAAATGTACTCATCCTTTCTAAGTGCTGCGTTCATTCCCCAATCCCATTTACTAATGCTTGGTCTCTAGTCCTAAAGATAAATCTACCCCCCAGGGAAGTGGGGGCAGTTAAAAAGTCAGTAAAAGCGGGATCTGAGTAGATCCTATTGTCAAACTGGGTTTGCTATTTGGGGAAAAGGAAACTGTCAACAATTCCAGAAACTGCAAGAAATTAAATTTGTAAGTATATTTACCTCATGAAGTAGCAGATCTTTAATCGAAATTCATCACAGTTTTCTCCACTGGCATTTCGATACGTACGCTGGTTAAAGAAAAAGTCCTCGCACCTTGTTTCCTTCGCACACACCTGCAGCTGTTTCATCAGTTTACACAAAGACCAAGAAATTAAATTTGTAAGTATATTTACCTCATGAAGTAGCAGATCTTTAATCGAAATTCATCGCAGTTTTCTCCACTGGCATTTCGATACGTACGCTGGTTAAAGAAAAAGTCCTCGCATCTTGTTTCCTTCGCACACACCTGCAGCTGTTTCATCAGTTTACACAAAGACCGAAGAACAGGGCCATACTGGGGACGTGTGGATTATATAGACACTCAGATGGGGAGAGAAGTGGGCTCATGACAACTTTAGCTGACAACTAAATAATTGAAACTTGATTTATTATTGCTCAGGGATGTATTTTGGGGTCTGGAGGAGAAACCAATTATAAAATTAGTCTTACGTTCCTGAGCACTTACCATCCAGTTACTGCCAACTGTAATTACAAATATACTACTGATTATATATAATTAAAATTGATAGTACGTAGAAGCACCATTTTAACCAAAAAGATTGTATATTTAGGATTAATGCCTTATATAAATACTCTAATTTCTTTAATACTTGAAAATATCATTTTCAAGTATATTAATATACAAGTTGTGTTATTTATTCCTAAGTCTATTTATTCATAGTCTTCTTAACAAACATTTATTGAGCTCCTGCTATATGCCAGGCACTGTGGCTGTGGCATAATTAAGGAATCCAAAGGGAGGACGATTTAAAGAAATGTTGATTCATCAATTTTTTTAGACAATCTGGACTTTCCCATACTAGACTTTACCATGCCTAAATATCCCTTTGCGTTTGTGTTTCATACATTGGTGGGCATACTAATGGTGAGAATGCTGTTTGGGGGCACATTCTTTGGACAATGTTTGGATCATGACAAAGGGCAGAGCCAGACCCAGTCAATTCTCTCCATCCCTCCCTCTGCTCTACCCTTCAGCAGTGGGACCCGTGGAACTCTTGGACCATTGGGGTCTAGGATCTTGCTCACTTCCAAGGATCTCTGTTCAGAGTGAATGTCCTCTTCCTCTCTCTAACATCCCCTTCTGCCTGGAGGTTGTGGGGGAGATGGAGGGAAGAACTGGAAAGTGGAGGAAGCTTGAACTGAGCAGGTAGCAGCCCCAGTTGGCAGCCCCAGCAGGTGCTGATAACACTCGATGGATCCCCTCCTTCTCAGGCTCCCCCTGCCCTGTAAGGGTTCTCCCTCATCTACAGGACCCCCTGGGCTTGAGAAGGCAGAGACTGAAGGAACCAATATTAGAGATTGTATAACAAACATATAGATCTCAGGGTATCCTTATAAACGTCCTTATAAAGGGAAGACCCTTTGCATTTTCAGTCTTTGGCTTTCAACCAGTTTTCAGGAATGGATTATGTAGTGTAGGACTGCTAAAAGCCCTCATTACAGAATGGGATTTCTAACTATGTGTTGTTTGTTCTGTTGTTATGTTGGAAGAAAATCTAAAATTAGTATCAACCAAAAAATTACAATAAACCTGCTAGAATGTTCATCATGTCTTGCCAGCAAGGGAAGATATAAAAATTAAGTTGGTGTATATGCCTGGGCCAGAGTATAATATTTTGGCTGGCATTTTCATATGTCCAATCTATCCTCTATGCTCACCATTTTGCTATCCTAGAAGGAATAAACTAGGTCTTGAATAAGTGTTAAATATTCTTTCATTGTACTAACAGCAAAAATGTTTAAGACAAGTCAGAAACATTAAGCCTACAGCTCCTGTTTCATTTCACACTTTAGTGATTATTTTCAAGTAGAACCAAAACATCCAGATGAATGGTCAACTATTTGGTCCATCATCCAGATGTTTTGTCTAGAAATCTATATATATTCACAGAACAGCTGGATAACTAAAGACTGTTTGTTCATCTTAATTTACAGACACTCTATCTAAATGCAGATCTTAATTTATGATTGTAAAAATTACACAGTAGATGAAAAGATATATGCAGAGAAGTTTTTCTGCCAATTCAGTTGAAGATAAATACCATCGGTGCATCAGTAGAACTATTCTTGGCCAATAACTATTATTCAGCTCTCCATTGTCATCTGTTAAAAAATAAAATAAAATAAGGCGTGAGGAGATAACAGTGCCACTCTTCTCTTTTTCTAATATCACTAGAGAAAGATTAGTATCAAAAATTTCTCATAGACACAATTATCTTTTACCTCCTACTTCTGCTGGTATTTCCTTGCAAGTGAAGGTGGGTGGGTCTCACCCTTCCTTTGGTCTGCAGTTGACAGACTTAGCAAATAAAAATACAGGATACCTAGTTAAATTAGAATTTCAGGCAAACAACAATTAATTTTTAGTATAAGTATGTCCCAGGCATTATTTAGGATATACTTAAACTAAAAATGTTGTTTACCTGCTCAAATTTAACTGCTCATCCTGTATTTTATCTGGCAACCCTGCTCTGATTTAACTTTGACTCCTATAGTAACCAATTCAATAAACAACTCCTATGTTACTCTATTCATGCAAGGAATAAATAATCCAAAATGCTGAGATGGATACATAAACCACAACATAACAAGCATATACCTGTAAAATCTTCAATCTGGTAGGAGATATGAGACATCGGCAAATATAGAATATAGTAGATTGTGCCACCCACACTTGTCTAAGTCAAAAGACCAAGAAATAATCACAGCAGCATAGAAGAATGGAGAAAAGGCTCATACCAAACATCTCAATGCAAGTGCTCAGCAGTTCATCTAATGTTGCTGCTTTCCCAAGGCCGCTTGACCCCATGGTTATTTAGCCGTTGTCAAAAGAATAGAAACATGTTCAGCATCAGATAGGCCATCTCCATAATCATGCAAGTTGGTGATGTTAGTGCCTACTGGTGGCCTCTGTTCTTAGTTGTACTTTAAGAAAATTCTAAATAATTAAGAAGAGAGAGTTATTCAGACCCCAATACAGCATCGCTTTCCTACCTGAAAAGATAATGACTTCCACTGACTGTATCTTTCCATAAGAAAAGTATCAGACTGGCTGAGATTATGTCAACTGTCGTGATGGCCAAATGCCTGCTAAACTGCCCCTTAGTACACAAGGTGCTTTAAGACCATCTGTTAAATTCCATCCCGCTTTGCATCTGAAAATTTTTTGATGCAATATTTTAAGTAATGAGACATTTGAGAATATTACAAATGTTATTTGGTCTAATATTATTACAAGTATACATAGGGAGATAAACTTTAAAATTCAAATATATTTATGAGCATTATCATCAGTGATTATGTAAATATTTAACTGGAAAAAATTCTACTTAGCTAACTTCTCTAATAGTAACATTATTAGTAGTAGTACTAGTAAAAACATTAACAATTATTGAATACCCACATTATGCATTAGGTACCATAAAAAATGCCTCATATTTTATCCAACCTGACCTTCACAGCAATGCTATGAGGTAGTAACTAATCATTCCCAGTTTACAGATGAGCTTGTGGGATTCACAGAGATTCAGCAACTTATCCAAAACCACACAATCATTAAGGCCTAAAATCAGGACTCCATTATAAAATAAAACTTCTGGTTCCCTCCTTTCCTTTTATTACTCCTCCAAGTGTGAATATCACAAGCTGTCATAATTTTGCCCCCCTAATCCATTGTAAAAGATATCATTCCTCCATCCCACCTCAAAAAGAGGATATAAGTGAGATTATCTGTCACAGAGGTAGAAGGAAAATGTGGAGATGACAGCTGTCCCATCTTGCAGCACTGTCATGAGAAAATGGGATTGGAAACAACCGCCTACAGCTGCATATACTGAAAGTATCTCTGTTGGGAAGACACCATCACTTTATTTTACAAAGCATGGCCTTGACGCCAGGTCCATACAAGACTCAGAGAAGTAGAGAGCCTATCATGATGTAAGACATTTAATCACTGCACAATTTAGTAGGTGAATGTGGCCATTGAGGATTCATCTCATGTTTGAAGTCAATGTCCATTTCACTCTCACACTTTAATTATTCAACTTGTAATTACTGAGCACCTGACATATGCCAGGGACTGGGTTAGGCACAGAGGCTGCCAAGATGAACAAACCATTGTCCCATCCCTACCTTCAATGGGCTCATAGTCAACTCCAGAAAGCAAACACATGAATGAATAGGAAAAAAAAATTAACATTTATATGGTTGTATTAGTTCAGTCAGGCCACTGAAGAGTGATGCTTGAATGAGTCTGTTCACCAGGTTTATAGCTCTGGAGAAAAAAATGTTTACTGTCTGTTTCTTCTATGTAAGAACCATATTCTTGTGCTGCAAGAAGGGTTATTTCAAGTGTGCAATAAAAATATAGCAGAAACACTCTATCAGTGCTTTCCCATTTCTGCCACTCAAATGATTTGTGAAAGGGGATTATTAAAGTCATCTGGAACCAACTCTTTTACATCTCCTAATAAAGTTACCTTATCGGTAAGGCTTTTCCTGACCACCCTATTTAAAACAACACCTCTCTCCATGCCCACCTACTTGGCATGCCCTACCTCCCAGCTCGGATTTATTTTTCTTCATAACACACCATCTGACATACTATATATTTTACTTGTTTGTTTTTTTAATCTCTCCAGCACTATAAATTTAAGCTCCATGATCTCAGGGATTTTTGTGCTCGTTCTCTGGTATACTCCCCAACGCCTAAGATTTTGCCTCTGACATAGAAGATACTCAAAATAATTTACTAAATGAATGAATGAGTGTATTGATAGATGAAGAAAGGTATAAAATAGAAATTGTCAAAAGTTTGTCTTTGAATATGGGTATATTTGTGTAAGTATGTATAGGTATCATAAATTTTTGAGGTTTCTTTAATTTGGTTTTTTAGTTTTACTAATTTAAATCAGCTTTAAGTAAATATCACTGTGACAGAAATTCATACTAGCTTTCTAGACATAATAGAATCTGTCTATATTCATAATAAGAACTTAGTATCTCTTCCAGGACATTTTGGGGCAGCATTATTCTAATTTTCCTAACGTAAGCTCTATCAATACCCTTGAAAGTTAAGATCGAACAATTAACAAGTTGGATTACCTTCATGTGTATACAGACTTTTTTTTCCTGTTACTTGCTGAATAGTAGGCATATTACTTAGAAGCAAATAGCCTAGATTAACTAAACTAGTTTCTCAGGTCAAAACCAAAATTATTTAGCTGAGCCATTTAGGGAAGGTGTTGACCTCCCCACAACGGGTTAGAGACGACCTGATATCGAAGACCTGTCACCATGTTTGGAGTTATATTTGTGATCCTTGAAGAAACTAGCAGGTGATGAGCCAGGTGTGCTGGGCTATCTGGTTTCTTCAATCTGTTTCTGCAATCAATAGATGCGTCTGTGCCTCTGCTTAGCATTCTGTCGCCTGCACGTTCACCTGAGATTCATTTCATATGTGTGGATATTATTGTGTCTACAATTGCCTTTTTGAAAATAAAGTTTCTTTATTGTAAAAATAATAATTATTTTTAAAAGGACAGAAAGGATAAAGGAAAGGAAGAATGTTACCACACTCATCATCCACAGTTAACACTTGTTAATATCATATCACGTTTCTTTTCATTTTTCTAAGCATATATATTTTTAGGGGAGTTTCTTACATAATCTATAATAGTTTAAAGAAATGCTTACCTATCGTTTTCACACACATAGGTTTCCAGGTCCAAAAGAATTTTAAGGGCATTTATCATCATTGGAAAATGCATTGAGGGAACAGACTGTAGAACTGGTTTGTTCAACTTGAATTGTAAGTGCTTTGAAGAACCTGGTAAAAGTACAGAAAGAAATTCTGAGTTAAATAACGGAAACCCAAAAGAATCCACATTGTGTGAAAGCATTTCCATAAACTTTGAGTGATAGGTGGTGCTTCAGATTTGGTCAAAACTTCACCCACAAAATCATTTAAAAGGGGAAAATATTCAAAATAGTTATTTGGTGACATGATTATTTTTTAATCAAGTAGTTTTTAAAAATTTACCCTATTAAAAACTGACAAATGTGGCAAAATCATACTGTAAAGTATTATTTTAGTCCAAATACACTTACATCAGTGGATTACTCATTAAGAATTTTCAAACATTGACTTTGTAATATTAGTAAATCCTTAAAACAGTTTGTTGTGGAGATCATCAAACTCTGACCCTAAATCACTTCTGATTGTCTCGACATGAATGTCAATATTATGTTAGTCCAGGTTGTTTAGTCTTCCAATGGTTTAGGACTTGCTGTAGTGTTGATAGGTAATCTCTGGCTGCAAAGAAAATTATTGCTCTTCAGCAAAGACATTTTCTCACGAGTCTGAAAAGGATACAATAAGCCTAACTTCCCCCAGGGTTTGAATTATTTCTAAGACAGAAGTTCTCATCTAAAAGAGGCAATAGAGTTTTGTTGGGTATGATTTCGAAGTCCATGATATTTTCATGTAACAGACTTCCATTAACATGATTTGTGCAGCCTCTGTCCTCAGAAAAATTCTTCTGAGGTTGCCTAGGAGTATAAGAAACATCCTCCCATTTTTAGAAATAGTACAGTTTCACACAACCATTCATTTCCAGATATAAATCAGCACCCCACACTCTCGACACAGAATCTTTCAATTTTTAAAAAATTGGGTTTCAATGTTAGATAATTAAATGGGAAGTTTTACTTACCTCTGAGTAAGAAGCCATTGGTGCTGCTTACTCTACTAAATTGTATGAGGATTTAGTGAAGTCACATAAAGCATACCCACCAAAGGGCCTACAAAATACTGGGCTCTCCAGGACGGTGTCTCCCTTCACCTGCACTACCTCTTCCCTTCAAATATTTAAAACCTTTTAAGTTGAGGACTTCTGTTGAAGTAAAGGATCTATTTGTAGTCATAACTGAAAGCTAGATGTTCAGTTAGAGAAGGGAAAAAGAAATCAAAGAAAAAATATTGTGACACCAGAGCATTTAGGAATGGGCCAGGTGGCCTTGTCAGCAATGGACTCCCATCCCTGAAAGATCGGGAGCCACAGTTAGGTAATGACTGTCAGAGATGTTGTCGACTACGTTCCTAGACAATGTCTAGGAAGTATGCCAAAATGACAGTGAAGGTTCCTCCTGGCTTCAGGATGGTAAGATTTATAAGATGAAATATTATATGTAAAAAGTATTCAACAAATGGTTTTGAAATGATGTTAACCATATTAGAACTTCCAAAGATTGTCTTGTCTATAGCGTTATCTCTATTCAAAGAAAAAACAAACAAAAACCCTTCAAGACCCATCCCTCTTAACAGCAGAGATTATCTTTATACATAAATGACCACAAATATGTCTTTACATTCTTATGACCTTCATGTGAAGACAAAGGGATTTCTCTAAATGCTTAAATCCTTTGTGAAAACAAGTGGTAATTGTTACAAACCTTTAAGTCTTAAAGATTAATGACAAAAGTGTCACAGCATTGTTATAGCAACATGCAAGCTTAATTTCTTTCTTACCACAAACATGAGGTTTTTTAAAAAGTGCTGTGATTCTATTATCTGACATTCCAAAGGAAAATCAAGATTATTGAGTTCAGTAAGAGAAATGATCACAAAACTCTGAAAGAGAATTTGACAAATACTCACTGAGGATCTATTAGACACCAAACTTCAAACAAGGTACTAGAGTGGCTGGTAAAGGGGGATGGGACGGGGGAAGGGAAGGATAAGTTACCGAGTAAGATGGACAGAATTCTTGCTTTTATACTCTAAAAAAGAAATAATTACAATAAAATATCCTATAAAGCTCAGAGTTGGGGGTGAGGGGCACTAATTTGGTCTAGGAGCCACGGGAGTTTTAGCCAGGCAAAGAATGGACAGGAAGATGGCAATTAGGAAAAATTAAAAGATATTTAGAGTGACTGAAGTGTTGAATGCGGCAAGAGGTGAGACTAAAAAGTCAATAGGAGTAGCTCATGAAACAGTATTGCAAGTTATATTGAGTAGTATGGACTTTATCTGAACAGCAATGGGAAGCCACTGTTTTACGTGAGCAGGAGAGTGGCATATGATATCTGGATTTTAAGATTCCAGCTACAGTATGGAGAAGAGACTGTAGTAAAGACCGACACTTGAGAATGGGGAAAACAGGAGTCGATATTAACCATCTGGGCATGAGATGATGATGTATACACCAGCATATGGCAACGGAGATGAAGAGAGGTGGTTAGTTACAGAATATATTTCAAGAAAACAGATCCAAAAAGATTTGCTGCTCTGTTGGCTACAGGGAATGAGCAGAATCAAGGGTAGTTCCCAGATTTCTAGCTAGACATTTGGTTGGGTTATGGTGCCATTCCCTGAGGTTGAGAAATTAAGGGCAGGGGATGGAGTAGCAAGTTCATAGGGGGCAGATGGTGAGTTTGCTTTTGGCCACGTTGAGTTGGAGACATCTGAGACATCCAATGGGGAATTTTCAGAATTCTTCTGAATACCTGTTGCAGACTTCTGAGTTGAGACCTGAGCATGATTAAGTGCTGAGTTAGCAAAAGGGAAATTGAAGGGACAGAAGAGTGAGAAGTTAATCCACATCACAAGGTCCTGGGAGAAGAGGACCTATGCACAGGTGGAGAGACTGACCTTGGATAAAGTAGAGGGGCCTGCTCTTTTAACGCAACAGCAGGAAGGAGAAAAAATAGCCATAGACATAAGCCATTTTTATATTTTATATTATAGATTTGTCATTTTGGTGGTAGGAAGTCAAGGAAGTTCCTGCCTAGTGACTTCTCTTTACTCTAAAAAGGAGACAAGATCATCTGCTGGAAGGTATTATGGGCACAGGTCTAAGATTTATCAAGAGGAGAAAATTTACAAAAAACATTGTGAAGAACAGAAAAAGGAAAACAGAAGTAATGGGATTATTTCCATCAAGACGAGAAGGCTGAAGCTTCTCTTCTTGTGGAGTCTTACTTCAGTGTTCCTTTTTCCTTAGACTAGTGTATCACCCACTGTGTCATGTTTCTACAATTATTTGAAATAACTCTCTCAGAACAATTTATATGGCAAGTGTCTTCTGTACTGAAGGAGCAATTCTGGGTTTCTGTTGTTATGGTCTACTCACACTTTCCATAAGTGTAAACTTCAGAACTAAACCGAGGCTGGAATTTGCTGAGTGGTGTCCTCACTAGGTCACAGATCCCAGCTCTCATTTCACCTAGCTTTGCATGATATGGTAAAGAGGAAGTTAAGACACTGTTAAGAAATGGAAAAATAGCAAAATCATTCATCTCTCCCCTTTTGGCTGGATCCAGGCTATTTTATTCTGGCAACTACAGCCCCAGCCACCTTCCCCATGATCTCCACCTTCCCGGCCAGGCTTTCTGGGTCTCTGCCCCACCACTCACTCTCTCCAATGCCCTCATTATCTGTAATCTTTGAAAGGTCATATATCACAAGGTATCGTTACCCTTTTCCCCCAGTTCATTATTTATAGTTAGTATTCCTTGGCTATTTCCGCATTGGTCTTGTTTTTCTTTTAATTTTCCTGCTTATTTCTTTTAACTTCACCCCTCAGTTCTTTGAATTTCTCTTTCCACTTTGTTTCCTCTGATCAGTTGCTCTTGCAGTGGGCTTCACCAAGGCTCAGCACCATCACTGTCAAAGTTGTTTCTATCACAAACCTGCTGGGATGGTTTGGACACAGGAAACGAACCCGGTGCTTCCAGCAAAGTCAGATCATTGTAAATGGGCCAGAACGGAAGATGTGAAGAATAAAACATCCCACATTTATGGATAGTGGAGCAACATCTCCAAAGGTTATGTCACAATGACAACACAGAATAACTATGGATAATACTGCATTTTTCAACTCTGAAAATAATTTTGGGGGGGCATTCTTGACTTGGATGGGTTTATTTAATGTGATCGTGGGATTTCCCAGGGTTTTAAAATTTGTGTTGTTTGTTTTTCCCTACAAACAGCTTTTACTAAGTTAATAAGGCATTAATAATCAACGTTTTGGATTTTAGAAAATGAGGTAATAATACCGTCTACAAATACCACTTGTTGATGGCAATGTAATGTTATAGACACAATGTTGGGAAAATTACCTATATTATGTTTAAATCTTACAACACCCTGAAAACTGAGTATTATTATCCCCAATTCACAGACAAGAACATGGAAGCCTAGAGAGGGTAAACTACTTGTTCCAATATCATGTTACTAGTTAAGCTGCAAAGCCAAGTCTGACTCCAAAGATTTATATTTTTTCGACTACCCGCACAAATTTCAGCTGTTGTTAAGGCTTGCTTATTAGATCATTTTCTAGATGTTGCCTAGAACAAATGTTTACTATTCCCTGTGTTTAGCTCCTAAGCATTCTATCACTGGCTCTATTGTCTGACAAATGAATAACCTTCATTATTAGAACAAGCTTGGCAAGTCGGGGAAACACTGGTACCAAGTACTGAACAGACGTCAATACCCAGCTCAGCACTCACTTCATTGAGTTTTTTGGTAACAATCAAGTAACAAGGTTTAGCTGCATTGTATTTACCTATTTATGGTTATCTATTTATTTATTAGCAACCAAACTAACATATTTATAGCTACCTGACATAAGTTGAATGAGAAATGAGAGCCTTGAAGAATCTCTAGTAATAAACACCATGAAATTCCAAAGTCCAACCAAGAGGGTATTTTCCTAGCATTTGGCTGGAACCAAACATGGAAAAGAAGTGACATATACATGTTCTAGGCACTTGCAGTCAGATGGTTTCCCAGCAGACACATTCAACCACATTGAAGGGTTATGA